CTGTGTGGGGTAATGGTGCACATCTTTAACCTGAGCCTGAGGGTGGGGAGAGTACCACAGCTCTGGAAAACCTTGTGTGGTACCAGTGCCGAAGACATCGAAAGGACTTCAACAGCTACAGGCCGGTGGCTCTGACATCCCACCTGATGAAGACCCTGGAGCGGCTGGTCCTTGCGCAGCTTCAGCCCCTGGTGAGCTCATCACTGGGCCCACTTCAGTTTGCCTACCAGCCTGGCATTGGGGTAGATGATGCTGTCATCCACCTCCTACGTCGTTCCCTCTCTCACCTGGATACCACTGGGAGCACTGTGAGGATCATGTTCTCCAGTGCCTTCAACACAATCCTACCCATAATCCTGATGGACAAGCTGGAGTACACAGGAGTGGACCATCACCTCGCCACATGGATCCTGGACTACCTCACTAACCGACCACAGTATGTGAGAACTCAGGACTGTGTGTCGGACAGGGTCGTCTGTAGTATGGGGACCGTGCAAGGAACGGTTCTGGCCACCATCTACACTGCAGATTTCTCCTATAACTCCACCAACTGCTTCTCGCAAAAGTTCTCAGATGACTCTGCAATAGTCGGCCTCATCACTGATGGGGACGACAAGGAGTACAGAGAACTGACCCGGGACTTTGTGCACTGGTGCCAGCAGAACCACCTCCAGATCGACACTGGAAAAACCAAGGAGCTGCTGGTAGACTCCGGCAGGCGCAAACATCCTCCACTGCAACCACTGAACATCCAGGGAATGGACATCGAGGCTGTGGAGAGCTGCAAGTACCTTGGTGTTCATCTGAACAACAAACTGGACTGGACCCATAACACAGATGCACTTTACAAAAAAGGGCAGAGCAGGCTGTACCTGCTGCGGAGGCTTAGGTCTTTTGGAGTACAGGGGCTGCTCCTGAGGACCTTTTATGACTCTGTAGTGGCATCAGCCATCTTTTACGGTGTGGTCTGCTGGGGCAGCAGCATCTCCACGAGGGACAGAAAGAGACTGAACAGGCTGATCCAGAGGACCAGCTCTGTTCTAGGATGCCCTCTGGACCCGGTGGAGGTTGTGAGTGACAGGAGAATGGTGGCTAAGCTGTCATCCCTGTTGGATAACATCTCCCACCCCATGCAGGAGACTCTGACAGCACTGAGCAGCTCCTTCAGTGGCAGGCTCCTGCATCCACGATGTGGGAAGGAGAGATTCAGAAGGTCTTTCCTTCCAACTGCTGTCAGGCTCTACAAAAAAGTCCTTGCAGTTGAACACACACACATAGACTGACAAACATACACATCCAGTACACCATGGTAGTTTCTATGTGCAATATTTCCATTTATATTTTTATTTATATTATACATTAATATTTTTCAATACACTCCTCCATATTTATATATTTATATTTCCAGATTGTTTGTATGGTGTACTTTTTATACTGTACTGTTGGTTTAGTTATTATTCTATTGTTTTTATCTTTTGCTGCTCTTATCTTGTACTGTCCACTTTCTGCTGTCACAATGCAATTTCCCACTTGTGGGACTAATAAAGGATTATCTTATCTTTATCTTTATCTTATCTTATCTTGCACCATACTACATACACCATACTGCATACACTGTACTGAATACTGTATACACCATACAGCATACTGCATCAGTGAATTCAGCTGGTCTGTATGGGAGGCTGGCTAGAAAGAAGATAATATACTCAAGAAGAGCTATATGAATGCATGTCTAAAGTTTGCCAGAAGGTATGAGAGTGACCCAGCTAACATATTGGAAAATGCTGGCTGGACAGATGTGCTAATCCAAAAAAATAAATCAGGACAAGACTATCAATCCTGGGTGCTCACCCCCAGCCCCCAGCCCGGCATGTTCCAGGGACCCCTGCCCACATCTGGGGCTCCTGAATCATTCAGGGATTCCACACCATTCATGGTGCCCCTGTCTGTTCATGCACCATTTTATACTTTATATTCAGGCAGAATCTTCATGTGGTTTAAATCTCTGTTCATTCCCATCAGGGGCAGAGAAACCTGGTTCACACCCCCATCCCTACAGGCCGACTGCAGCGTGTCTGCTGCTGTTGTGTATTTTCCTAACCATCTGCATCATTGTCCTGAGTATCTGTTGTGAGTATGAATCACTTTTCATATCTATATGTAAGTGAAACATATTATTAGAATTTGTGTATCTACAGTGAGCATAATTCACAGCTTGGATAGTGTGTAATTTTGTGTAGAGTAAATGTTCACTTTCTAATAGGGTAAAAATTATCATTTTTAGAGCAGTGCAACACTGCACCCCCCACTGGTATATATGCTAATGGCCTCATTAGAGTAAGACTAGTAATACACTCCATCAGTTTAGATTTTTAAATAGCAGGTAGAAAAACTACTATTGCTTTAGTTTCAAAATGATTGCTTATCCTGTCAGTATAATATAAATGCAGGCATTTCTGAAACACCCATATGGCACTTAAAGAAACCTATTATTTTTAATAATGTTTGAGGAGTCTCTCTCAGAGTTGCCAAGTAGGATCACAATATTTTCAGAATTTGATATGTATGATCTGATTAATATGATGATTTAAATATTTCTCTAGGTTTTACTAAATTAGAATAGAATAACTCTTATTGGTCTCCAAGTAGGTGCTGTGTTGATTGTTACACTGTATGTTTTATTTCTCACTGTCATCCGGAAACAGTACAAAGAGCCAACCTGAAATGCTCAGTGATGGAAGGCGACCTGCAGCAGCTCACGTCAAAGAACAGGAACCTGACTAAAGAGAAGGAACAAATACAGGAAGAAAGCAGCCAGATAGAGCAAAATTGTAGCTCCCTGATCAGTGACAATAACCAGCTGAAGGAAAACTACAGCATCACAGTTACACAAAAGGATGTGTTTCAAAACAACTATGAAGCCCTGATAAACAAATCACAGCACCTGAGATTGTTCTGTGACACCACTGATATGCGTAATATAGCTGTTATTCCACATTTTTTTCATTGTTACGGCATTTTTTTATTGACAATTATTTTGACAAAGAGCTCTATCTTTGCAGAGAAACCATGCCGACCGTGTCCACAGGGCTGGGAGCCGTTCAACTCCAGCTGCTACTTTATCTCTCAGAGCTGGAAATCATGGAAGGACAGTCGAATTGAATGTCAAAAGTGGGGAGCTGACCTGGTAATTATAGAGAGCAAAGAGGAACAAGTATGTACTGTCTGAGTGGCTGGTCATAGTGTAGATAGTGTAACTGCTCTCCTGCTGTTCACTCATGTGATCTGAAGGGTGGGTGATGCAGTA